GATTGTTCACCTTAGTTAAGAAACGTATTGTAAACTAGTTAAGGCCTTTATTTCGAAAAATAAAACTTTTTTAAAAGTCACTCCGTTGGTCGTGGAACTTAATTTGCGTATGCTTTTGTGTAAAGCCTTCCAAGAATTTTCTGAAATTGACTGGAAAATCCCATTTTTTTTATCACCTGCCATAAGTAAGAATGGTTAACTCTGTCAAAAGCCTGATTTAAATCCAATGATAAAACTGCACCTGGGGTGTTATTGTTATTTTCGAAATGCAGTACGAATTATTAATAAATTATTAAAAATGGAGTTTTCTGTTCCCGCTGATTGGTATTTCCGATAACTTTGTGTGTAAGGTTTTTCATCCTTTCAGAGAGAATCTTAGCAAGAATCTTATAATCGCAGTTTATTAGTGTTATTTGTCGAAAGTTATTCAGGACTTTAGGATTTTTTGTCTTGGGTATCAAAGTAATTACCTACCCCCTCGCAAAAAAACTGATGGAATATCTGAATTTTCATTTAACAGTAAATTGAATAATCGTTTTAAATCATTTCCGATTAAATCAAAAAATTTGTGATAAAATTCATACGATATCCCATCCATGCCTGGCATTTTTTTCTTTTGTGTAGATTTTATTACATTAAAAATAACCTCAATGGAAATTTCCCTGTCCAATGAAGCATTGTCATTGTCTGATATTTTTTTTGTGCATGTGCCAGTAAACATTTTGTTTCTTTTTCTGAGATTTGACTTACCGAAAACTTTTTCTCTTATACTATATTTCATGATTTCTGTCTAAGATTTTAACAGGTTATTTCCATTAGAGTTGAGCGAAGAAATAGTCTCTCTGATGATTATAATAGTCTTGTCCGAAATCTAGTTTTTTTTTTGGCGTCCAGTAGAGCAGAGTAGTGGATTTTGACATTGAAAACTTTGAACCATAAACAATACCGCTTGGCCCTGATTGGTCGCAAAATGCCGATTGATTGGTTCTTGATTTTTAATCATAAATATTAGGGAACTATGATCGGAGAAAGAAGTAAATATTAGGGAACTATGATCGGAGAAAGAAGTAGGCTTTACTAGCGATTCATGAATTAACCTAGGGTTTTCGAAATATATGCTCTATCTATTCGAGTTGCTGCATTATTTATAAAAAATGTGAATTCAACGTAACGAGTTATTTCCCAAACATCTTGAAATTTAAAGTTTTGTACAAAATTAAGTAGCGTTTTAGAAATTGGTGTGGACCGATTTCTAGAATCCTTACTTTTTATAATGCAATTAAAGTCGGCTAAGGGAATTAATGGTAAATGAAAATTCAAATGCAGCGTTAAATCATTTTGAGAAAAGAAGTTTCTTTCTAGCTGTTTTTACTCCCTGATGGACCGTATACATCAATGTATCGTATGTCATCTATTACTAAGGATAAACTTCTCCCATTAGGCGAACACAAAATATTATTAACCTTGCAACCCTTTCAATAAATAAAGCCAATACCTCTTTCTTCGGGTCCCATGTTTGGTATAAAATCATATCCGATTGAGCATTCAAAAACATTTACATTAACCTCATGAAGAAAGCAAATATCTATGTCATTTTTACGTATGAAATCATTGATGTTTTTGCTTGGTGGGATCAGTGTTGCCACAAGCTCTGAAAATTTCGTGCCAGATTATATTTTTAAATGGGGCCAGACTTCAGAATTTCGGGCAAACTCATTTTAAACAAAAAAAAAGAGAGAAAGCCCGCCTCAGGGTGCCACGCCCAAAAACGTTTATTTTGCATGAAAAAATTATGATTTGGCTTGTTATGGAGAAACGGGCCAGATTCGAAAAAGAGTGGCCAACTCCGTCTTAGAAAGGGCCAGATCTGGCCATATGGGGCCACCTGTGGCAACACTGGGTGGGATTTTCCAACCCACAGCAATTTAAACTACAAATTGTTTTTAGTTTTAAAGCCATTGATTACAATATAGGAAGAAAATGTGAATCAAAGTGTTTTCAAAAAAAAAATATAAAATACACAATAATTTTTACAAACCATTCAAGAGTCCTTTTCAGGGCTGGAAAACGAACTTTCCGGCCCACGCCTATTCTTTGGAATCTTCAATTTTATGGGTGGTACCTTCCCATCGTCTTCACTAGAAGCAGTCAACTACGAGTGAAGGCGTTTTGAGCCAGGGTTTTCTTCTAATGGCGTCGCCTCAATAACCATTTCACTGTCTGAATTCTCACTTCGAAGGACAGGAGAGTCCTCCTCAATTATTTGCAGTGATTCTAGAAAGGGTTCCGAGGCGTCAACGGTCTGAGCAGGAGATTAGCTTCCCGCAACAGCAGTCACCGAAGCATATGAAACTTGTTCCTATTTTGAACTGGGTGGCCGAGCAGATGGCCTCCACATTTCTCTATTTCTATTAGTCAGATTCCTGGAGCAGTTTTTCCTTTCATGTGTATCCTCTGAACAAATCATGCAGGTTCTTATCTGATTCTTATACACAACCAAAGAAGTATAACCTCCAATTGTAATATGAGACGGAATCAGTTTCTTCATATTTATTGCCACCGTGCGTATACGATTTTCAACAGGGTATAAACCCTCACCAATCCATTTCTCGTTTTTGATACTTTTTACATTCCCATATTTCATTAATTCAATTCTAATTTTTCCATTTTCCATTTCTAAAGGAAAATCGTATAACTTGACATACACATCATTGGAATCCTCTGAGACAGGGATTACAAACTTTCATCCCACCTCATCTTCATAAACGGGAGGTGAAAATTCCCATTTTTCAATGAATATTCTTGCCAGATCCTCTGATATAAGTTTAGTATAAACTTTTTTCTTTAGGGTATCCGATTGTAGACCAATTACTTGAGCGATGGTAAACTCAAATTTTTCTTTTATAAAGGTAAAAAGGTATACAATTCTAGCGGTGATTGTTTTTTCACTGCTTTAAAATCCAATGCCGCAGTATTTTGCCTTTTTAAATTCGACATGGTATTCTCACAAACAAAAAACGTCGCGGCGTTCCTAGGTATTCGCGATAAAAAATCATACGCTCAACACCTTCTCTGCTCGAAGTAGTTTGGTAGATTACTCTCTACTTATGTTCTCGTATAGTATCTATTTAGAAAAGCTCCAGGATTTCTGTAGTAGAGTAAAGGTCGCCGAGATAAACATGATTATACAACTGACTGCAGTGGCGGCTCCTATATTAGAAATGTGGGGGTTGCAATTCCAATTTCAGCCCTATCAGATAATGATCGACCACAGAATGGCTCTGTAATTAAACTTTGAACATTTTTTTGTCACGCACCACACCACAAACTAAAATAAAATATTTTAAAACAAACCTAATCTGCGATGCGCGCAAAAAAGTGAAGAAAGTCTGCACTTCGTTTGCAACCTGCTGGTGCTTATGGGACGGAATTGAAATCCACGCGTAGATAGGCACCACATATGCGCCGTCATATAAGCCGATCGAGTTGCATTCGAGCTGCAATCCGGCGTCATTTTGGCGAAGGTGGTCAAATTATTTTAATAAATTAACTGCGGAACAGCTTCTCGCGTAATATGTAGGTACCAAATTCTGGTATAATTTATTTTTAAAATATAATTAGGTACCAAAATATTAGTTCTTTTTTGTTTTATTGTTTTCAACTTTTGTTTTGAGGATTGCGCAAACCTGCAAACCTTAGGAAGAGCCGCCACTGACTGACTGTACATTATTCCCATATGACACGAGAGGCTTAACAAGTGATAAGCCTTTTGGGATTATCGCGCTTGGTGGCAATATTGTTCATTTGCTATTAATAATAATAAAAATTAATAAAGTTATGAAGTTTAGTTCATTGTATATCCTTTTGAATACCACTCGATGTTTCAGGATTACCTTATACTTCTACCTGACACTCAACGCGTTACCCGCAACACCGCTCCTCCTTCGGAGTCGTGGTGTTGCTGCGTAACGCGTTTCGTGACAGGTAAAAGTATTATCCAGTAATCCTGAAACGTCTTGTGGTATTACATTCGATAGTATTTTTTTTTTTTCATAGTCATTAATTAAAAACTTAAAAGATTATTTGAAATGTGCATTTCGTGCTTCAACTGTATCCACCTGGTTTTTGCTACTAAACGTAATTCTTTTGCTTCTTTGGTAGTATCTTAGTTCAAATTGTCCCCGATTTAGAGGTATTGGCATTTTGTAGACAAATGCCTTGAAGCAGTGGACCAGCATCGCGATATCCTTGGTCTTCTTTGAAAATGTTGCCCTCTTGAATCCACTGCCTCATACCATCTATATTTCTTTCAAATTTGCGTTGTATCATTACTAACATTGCTAAATCATTTTTACGTTAGTCAGAAGAATACGGCCATTGTATGGAAATTATGTATACCTATACCCGTTGGGAGCTACAATCAATTCAGGTTATATCAAATGACGGCCTGATACCTGCAATGAGAGGTGCTTTCCAGTGACACTTGAACTACTCATTTTTGTTATCCCCTGCCCCCTCGTGCACCAACCTTTATTTCGGTGTTCCATGCTCCTGAAGTCCGAAATGGTGGGCGCTAAGATAAGAGCGTTCCAGTGCTGCTTATTTCGAACAGTTCAAGAGCGTCACACTCCAGGAGCATGATGATACTCTAACAATTTAGGCACTGGAAAGCAGCTAAGATATCGAAGAGCACGGAAATTACTGCTTTTATTTATATACGAATACGTGCCGTCAAATGTCTGTTCTCAGAAGAGTCTCTGACAGTTTGCAACTTGTCAGAAAGCATCGCCCATACATGTTTTCAATGCCGTCGTTCCAAAATAAATCGCAACTTAGCTGAGCGCTTGTTTCTGACAGTTTTCAAACTGTCACAGACTTTTGTGAGAACAGACCTTATTAATTAAATAGCAAATGTCCAAATAAGCTGTTGTAAGCAAATTGCAAACAGTACATTTTTAGAGAGAATAATATTAGTTCAATTTTATGTATTTTTATTTCAGAAAACTGTATCCAATAGTCCGTTTTTGAGTGAATCTGGTGACGCAAAGGACCCTTTAATTGGATCGCCCAAAGAGGTAAATATTAGAAATGAGGTTCGTCACCTCTTTTCCTTTAAATTCGAGCAAAACGTTTTTTGAATTCAGCTCAAATTTAAGTGCAAATGTAGCTACCTACCGAGAGATGTTTCACTCATGCAGTGTGTGTGTGTACAAATATTATACATTCATGTATATGCAGTCCATACATTTTTCTGCAGTCATTGGAATACATGGACTCATACAATCATGACACAGTCGCTTGCAATCGTTATAAATTCGGTGCAGTCACATGCGGTAGCTTACATTCCATGTACACATGTACCATCGTCACCAAAAGTATCTGGGACACAAAAAATGCATAATAATCTCCTAGACTAATTCTACTGTCATTCATTTCAATGCATTTAATTCATAGTTTGACAAATATTTGACAATAAAATTCATATAATAGGACAAGAGCTTATGTGATGCTGTCCCAGTTACTTTTGGTGACGATGATACCTACACTCGCGAAAAATCGTAAGCAATCGCTGCGAGTGGAGCCTGCAATCTTGTTAGATATTGCTCAAAAGTCAATACAGTCACTATCATCTTTGATGCAATCAATGGAATTAAATACAGTAAGGGCCGATACTTTTGCTCTCGATTAACGAATTTGATAATATGTTGAAAAAATTTTGCATGGGACAAGGTCTATAAGTATGATGTAGTTAGAGCACATTCTAACCCCTGATTATTTTTAGCGGCTGTTAAATGAGAGCAAAAGTACCGGCACTAGGTCTACAAAATTTAGTGAGTGAAACACCCCTCGCTACCTACTGTCTCGTTAAAATTTCGGAAATATTTACCAAGACAAATAGTGAATTTTGATTATAGCAAAATGGTAGATGATACAAGTCGGCTTTCTAGAACATGTATTTGAGCATTTTTCCAAATCTGAATTTTGGCATCTGGGGGGGTTTATTTGAAACGTGCAATTTAAATACGTCTGACTGAGTCGCAATTTTTACCGGTATTTCAATGCTAAACATTTTCTATTCAAAATTATCTTCCTATACCGGGTGACAATGAAACTACTACCCACGGCGGGATTTCTTACGGCTCGAGATAGAAATATGCAATTCCGTATGTTCAATTTTGCAAGTGTCTATGAAGGTTGAATTTGGATAAAGGATAAATAAGTAGGATTGGGTAGTGGAAGTTTCATTTCCATAAGATGAACCATTTTCGTACAGGGTCCGATCAAAAACTGAAACATTAATTTTCGAAAAACGCGTTTTTCTTAACTTGCATTAATTCTTCTTTTTGATTATTTATCGGATACCTCTCTGAATAAGAAGCAAATGACCATGATTGTTTTTGTTCTGGCCTACTTAGTTTTTACGTAAGATACAAACAAATAGCAATTATGACATATTTTTGAGCGGTTCTATTTCAAAAACTATCAATTTTTGACATGGGGTATGTTAGACAAAAGTTATTTAGAAAACAAACTTAAAACTTTAGACTGTTTATTGAACGACCAATTAGATTTAAACAATTCACCACTTTTAAATTTATTTACTGTGTAATACCTATTTAAATTAACATAAAATTAGACCAGCTTTTACCTTTTTTATATTTGTCAATTTCACTTTTATGTCTACATTTTATTTTTCTAAAATCTTTCTGATGAAGCTAAAGTTTAGCGAAACATGTTAAAAGTTTAACAAAAAATTGTGGAAATATATAAGTATTAAAATTTACTTAAAAAATCTTTTATTAGATAATGGATTTCCACCAAGTAAAAGCCGATTCAATCAAAATTATTTAGAATTGTTCAAAGAGTCCAAAAAAGATAATATACAGGGTGTCCCATTTGAAATAACATAGTTAAGGCCATTTCCGGTGAACCCGGAAAACACATTCAATTGTTTTTATATTAAAATTGTTCACAATTTTCAACCCTATCAACAAACCAGAAATGCCGTCACGGGTAGTAGTTTCATTGTCACCCGGTATAGTTGAATATTTTTCAAAAGAACTTTATTCATGACTATTTCCATAAATATACTTATGTATATAAATTTTTTGAAAAGAGTAAGTTTCGGTTAAATTCCAGAAACAACAAAAATAAAATTCAGCATCAAAAAAGTGAATCTTGCTTTTTAAATAAATTTGCTCGGAAATTGATTTTTGGAATATTTCAATTTTTTATCATTTTCTTTTCCTTTTTAATGAACAGTATTTTATTTGAACTAAGTTTACCTAATAGTCCGGTCTGATTTGTATTCCCGTGTGCTTTTTCGGTATGCAAGCAAGCGTTTTTTTTTAAAGGGTTTCTAATGCACTAAGGTGTAACTGTTTTCAGTCGGACCACTATATAATGTGTCAGTGTCGCGCAGTTGACATAAGTGTCACTACCTCATTTTCAGTTTTCATTATTTTTTAAATATGGTTGTTTAGGGGTACCGTTGTCAGATCTGTCCCTAATTTGTCTTTATTTATGTAGGTCACATACTAAAAAAGAGAAAAAACTACCACGAGATAGATGATAGACCGCGCATGCGCATAATTTAATGTTGAAAAGCAATTATTCACAATATTTGAAATGTTTTAAAATATACAGGCGTCTCTTCGTCTCCGTCATCGCTACTACTTGCTCCGCGATTTGAGTTATTGATAAATTCATTGTATTGTATTCACATTCATTTCCTTGACATGAACAGAGTTTTGTATACAGGGTGTCCCAAATTCGAGGGTGACCATTGAGATATCGGAAAATATTAGAGATCCGAGGTTGGTTGAATTATGGCAAAGTTGCGCAATTTTATGACCAATAAAATGCCGCCTTGAAATTTGCAAAATTCCGAATACTGCCGAAGATATTCGGAAAAATAATTTTTATTTTTTCCTGAGTCTATTTGAAGAGCAATTTTAAAATAAGTGTCGCTTCATCACTGTCGCTTTTTTCCTTTTACACGATGGTACCATCATATTTAAAATCTGACGTCTTTGGGTCACTTCATCTTTTTAAATACGGTCCATTATTTTTTATTTCAACTCCTCGAGGTTTCCTCAGACCTTAAGGAAGCCTTGGCTCTTGAGGGTTTAGAATTGACCTCACCAACTTCCCAAATGGAAGTATATGTCCATTCTAAACTCACGCCCTCCAGGGAAGACTCAAGTTTTGATCGGTAAAGACGGTAAACGATGATTCATTTCCAAGAGATCCAAGGGCAAGTAAAACAGAATCTTCAGCATTCTAAAGGGCTATCCAAATTTTTTCTTACCCTTTTTATAGGAACTTATTCCTATAGGTGATAAAGGAATACTTCTTGATTTCTCTCCTATTCCATTGTAAAAATAAGTTTCGAATCCAAGTTTGTAGGATTTGTTTGTAGATTGTAGATTGTATCTTGTTCCAGCCGCTCAAGCACTGCTACCTTTCCAGATATTTTGTGCGTGAATCTTCTGATTGAATTTTCTGTAGTTTCTGTTGCTTGTTCCCAAGATCTACAGAAGTCTCTGTCTAATTTGCCTATTGTCTTTAAGTGATATTTCACCAGGCAGTGTCCCGTGAGCAGACCAACGACTGTTCTAATTTCTAATTTATCTTCTGTCCATGTCAAGAAGTTGTTCAGATCTCCCCGCTGAAATGGATATGAACCTCTTTGCCTGTCTCAAACCCGGAATAGATCTCCAATGAGCTAGCATTCGGTCCTTTTCCTCTCTGTTGATTTCTTCGGAGACGACGCTTTTCATTAGTCCACAAAAAGGCTCTGGGACAAAAAGTGCCTTCAGGGTTACTTTGTTCCTCCCAGCCAACTGGCAACAGTTGCTTAAGAATATTTTTACCCTGCTAAACTAACTGCAAATGCAATTGATTGCTCCTAGAGCCTTTAGAGCCGCTTAACTGCTGGACAGTATGTAAATGTGCTCTCTTAAAAGGCCTCTTTTAAAGCTCTCTTGGGCACAGATGTTTATGACCAGTAAAGTCCGACAAATACCATTTTAAAGTCACGTGATATTGGTGGCAAAAAACGTATGTTCGTTGATTATGTCGTTGATATCACCTACAAAAAGCTACTTGTGGTTAATTACTATTGAATTTTAAGATATGCTCCCACTAGCATTTTACAAACGCGTTTCTGAAGTAGTATTGACCAATCAGATGAGAATTTTAATACTTGCAATTGTTGCGAGACTCACTTTTGTCGCTTCTGCTGCCCCTTGTAATACATTCTGAACTTGAATTGGGTACCCGTTTTCCATTTGCATCTTTTTGAGTTGGAAAAAGGTTAATATAGTCAAAATTATTAGCTGTGTTTGTTCGTTGTATCATTTTCTAAAATAACTTTGACAAACTAATTGATGACAGTGACGGATTCTATTTCAGGTACGAATTTTATGAACAATAATTAGACAGCAATTTTTTTGTCAATTTTACTATCACCGCTGTTTGAGATGTATTCAACAAGGATAGAGAAAAATCACGTGACTTTAAAATGGTATGTGTTGGACTATACCTACCTAGGCTTGAAATATTGTGGGCGTTAGATCCTTTGCTAAGGAGAGTTTAAAGTTTGGTCCAGTTATTGCCAGACCGACTCCTTCCGTTAGGAGTGCCTCTAAGGCTGCTGTAGGGCAAGTTGACATAGCCCCTGTTATTTCCAGACAGATCATCCTTTGTGCTTTACGTAGACTATCCTGTGCATTAATTTGCATAGTCTTTGGCCATAATACCAACGAGACGTAGGTGATAGAGTCTGGCAACCGTTTGATAAATCCAATATACCATTTTTGGTCTTATCCTCCATGTTTTTCCCACAGGTTTGCGGCATGTCCAAGTGGCGGCCGTAGCTTGTGATATTGTTTTATTCAGATTGTTGTTCCAAATAAGTTTGCGTCCAGGGTAACCCCTTCATCCGAGAGAGATAATTGTGTGCTGCTCGCAGATCCAGCTTCCTTTTTTTCATAAACGGAACTAAAAGGATTAAGGATTAAGGATTTGTTTTTTGCCAAAATTAAAACGTCAGTATCGAGAGAAAATATGTATAATATTCGCATATTTTGTATTGATAAATGCATAGCATGTTATATAGGCTTTGTTGTCTGCTCCTTCTTGATCAGAAACTAGTTGTGATGAAATGCCTGTTTTAAATAATGATATATTTTGTTAACAATTGCTCAACAATAATTTTGCACTAAACATCGCTGTTTCGCATAGTTCCATGCTCGCGCGCTATGCTTATCTACGCATGTCCTGCCGGTCATGGGCGTAGGCATATGTAGTTTCCATAATTATGTAAAATGTTAACAGTAATCATGATTTTGTATATTTTATATCAAACATGAAATTAAAGTAAAAAAAATTGTAACAGCGCAATAAAACCGCTCAAAAAATCATTTGATCTTATTTTCCCGTACTGTACGCCTCTGACACATAAGTCGGCGTTCCGACTGGACTTGGTTATTCTTTACATTACAAATTTTAGTTTAAAAAAAACCGCTTGCTTGCATACCAAAAAGGCACACGGGAAATCAATTTTGAACAGCTCATACCGGACTATAAGGTAGAATAAAGTAAGAAGGGGGTAGGAGACAAATTGTTACCAAAATTTCAAGAGGATTGAGTTACTACTCTAGAAGTTATGAAATGTTTTAAAATACCCAATATTGTTGAATATTTAGTTTCTTCAGGAATAAATTTCTAAGTTCTTTCAGCAGTTGTGTGAAATTTTCAATATAGCTACCTAAATAGAGGTACATCTTCCTTTATCTTCCTATCCGAGGGGAGATGATTAGCTGAAAATGTCACAAAGCAATTTTTTTTTTTCAAATAATGAATAATTCTGAGTGAATCGAAGTAACTTCCAGATAATGTTTAATGCATTTTTCAATTTCCCTTCTAAAAGCTTAGGAAACATTTTATGATTTTAATTTAGGACTTGATTTTAACTTTCTAAAACAACCAGAGACTTTAAGATAATCTCTTGAGAAAATGACATTGAAAAAACTTTTGGAATTTTTGGATTTTTTGTTCTTTTACACCAATCTAGGAATTTAGTAGAGTAGGGTCAAGCCAAAATTTCCTTGATCTGTGATAGTTTCTATAGGTACCTTATGTTTGCACTAATTTATAAAGCCAAAAACAAATATTTTTTTTTAAAGAGAAACCTGGCAAAGGTATCAAAATGAAATCTGAAAAACTTTCCAAGTCTGAAATTACTAATTAAAAGCTTGCCAGAACACAAAAGTTTATATTTTAATAAGATTCTATCACAAAACAAAAATTGCAAAACTTTATATTTTCAAGCATAGCTGGATATTTAACGGCGTATTGAATTACGTTTTAACTAAGAAACTTTGGCAATATTACCTCACTACTGAAAATATTTTTGTTTTATTCAAATATAAAAATTACTTATATTTCATAGATAATTGTTCAACCCAAAGAATTTATGTCCGATGAATCCGATGAAGATACCCCAATTACTGCAAAGCCATCATTGTTGGAGAGATTGAAAAAATTAAGAAATAAAGATGTTCCTACTTTAATAAGTAAGTAAAACTTTAAATAGTTTCAGACGCTATTTGTGCATTGCTAAAACTTTCAGAAAGTCCTGAAACTAAATCGACCAGTCCATCCAAAGGAGGATTCTTCCAAAATCTAATTAAACCTAATTCTGGAAATACTGAAAATAAAGCTGCTACGCCAGTTGAATTAAGCTCTGTTGCAGAAGATATGGATTCTATAACAAATGGTAATGTTTCTTTTTAAATTAAATTAAAAAATAATTATTTTCTCGAAAATTACTTTGTGGGGATATATGGAATATTGAATTTTATACTGGAAAAACAATAAATAAATTTAGGAGTTGATTTTTTTTTTTGGGAAAAATCAATTGTTATTTTTGTAAAATTTTATTTGATGTATCTCTAGTTATGGAAAATAAAGGGTTCATGTTTTTATAGGGGGAAGACATTGAGCTAAATCGCATTAAAATTTCAACAGTTAATTATTTATTGAGTGAAATTTCATTTCCCTGGTTCATTATGTCGTATTGGGATCTTGGGTTATGAGAAAAGAGAAAATAAGTGATCTTTGTTAATTATTTATTTTCAGCTGTTCCAAGTAATCCTGATACTGATTTAAACAAGAAAACGTCTGAACTGACGCAAGCTTTGCAAGAAGTTAAAGTAATGGTAGAGAATATGAAAAAAGACGCACAAAAAGATTCAGAAAGTAGACTTTTGGGGTCTCCCCAAACAGAAGGTTCCGAGAAAAATCCTCTAGAATCTTTAATGCCTCAAAATTTTGTAGAAAATGCGAAAAAAGTAAATGAATATTTTATTGACAGAGCGCAAGACGCTTTGGACACGATAAACCCAAAAACTATAGACAAAGAAAACAACTTAAATGATATAAGCCATTCGGGAATAATTCCAAACGGAATTACAGGCATCAAGAAAATGTCACAACATTTATTAGATAATTTAAAAAATAATCAACTAGTGGGTGCGAATAAACCAATACAAATGGAAGAAAGATTTGGAGAAACGACCGAAGAAATTCCTATAGTAACAACCTATAAAAATAAATTAGATCAATATTTGCAAGAAAGAAAAAAGCAAGTACAGAAAAAGTATTCTCCTGAAACAAAATTGAGAGCTGCAGAGGATTTGAAGGGAAAATTAAAAATTCCATCAGTTGATTTGAAAAAACCACTGAAAAATGCAGGAATAATGATGACAAGAATGGCAGAAAAAGCCAATAATTTAAAAACAAAGCCTCTTTCATGGCTCAATGATAACAAAAATTATCCCGAACAATTACTTGGCAATACCGAAGATAATAGCTTAGAATCAAATGATATCAATGGTAATTATTTTTTACCTACTCCTACACCCAGTGACCAACAAAATACAGAAACGCAAAATAAATTTATGAAATATTTGGAAAATTTAAGATCAAAAACAACAGAAAAACCAGTAGATACCAAAAAGGATTTACTTAAAGATAAATTAAAGGACTACGTGAGCTCTTTAAGAAATCAGAATAAAGAAAAGCCACAGTTGGACACTAAAAAAATTAGTGAATTGATGAGAAAAGCTTCAGAAAATCAAAAAGAAAGTGTTAATGGGCTTAAGAAGAAATTAGAAAAAATTTTAGCAGAAAATAAAGTCGCAAGATCTCCTTCTGTAGGAATTTTTTTGGAAGAACCTGTCATTGGAAAAAAATTACCAGCTGATGCAACAAATTTCCAAGAACCATCCACTGTGAGTGCAATAAATCCCAATATGGAAAACCGAGATAGTTTAAAGGTAATTTGAAAATTAATAGCTAATTTTTTTTTTTCTAAATTTTAATGTTATTCCAGATTAATACTGATTGGTCCAATCAACTAGGAAAAATTGTCCAATCCTCCTCAAAGCCTCAAGACATATTTTTTATGGGCAGCGGTGTTAAACTTCCCCTAAAAGTTAAACAAAGTAATGATGGTTCGATGGATCTTTCAGTGGACCTAGAAAAACTTTGCTCTTGCTACAATGCCACTTGTACAGATAAAAATCAAACTGCATTAGATGAAACTGTTGGAGCTATTTTGGAACAAGAGGCCGTCTTAGAAAACCAATTGAAGAATTCTCATGAAGAGGTACAATTGAAGAGGCAGAAGCGAATGTACGATTCACCTAATTTGCTTGAAAACGATTCACCTAATTTGCTTGAAAATCATGTGCAAAAGCAACTGGAGAAATCTTTTAAAAAATCTGTAAATCAATTGCAGAATGACGTTAAGAAATTAAACAAAAAACTTGTGGATTCTTTAAATGTGGCTTTACCAACCGGAGAATTTGGTGGAATTAGAAATCCAACACAAGATCCCTCAAAAGCAGTCAATCAACTTAAAGAAAATTTCAGAAACATCTTTCCGGAAGTGACAAAAATTCAAAAACAAGTAGCCGAAGCTGCTGGTGACGTCACAAAAATATCAGAGGCTTACGAAAAAGTCAAAATTAGCAATTTGGAGAATCGATTGAAGAAATTAGATAATGAAATTGAGAAATTGCAGGACACTAATGAGGAGAAAGTACGTGAAGAGACTAGAAAATTTCTTCAAGGGGATCAAAGAAAACGGATTCAGGAAGAGGCCAATATTTTGAGTAAGGTTTTCTCTTGGGTGGATAGTTTCTCAAAAAAGCAATAGGTTAAATTTAAAAAAAAAATGGAATTTTATTTCTAGTAAATAGTTTTTTACTTTTGTACGAATTTGAATAAAATAACTTTTATTTATGTTGTTTGATTTTATTTTGTAAATTTTTAAATTAATTTTTTGATGGTCTACCTGACTGAATCCTCTTCGCTCCAGATGTCAATCCCAAGTCGAATTTTACGTCTGAACTGGAATGTCGGCTGTACTCCAATTTGCCGTCCACAGCTGTGACAATCTTTTTTCCTGATTTGCTTTTGGCAAAGATGTGACTGCACATGTGTAGCAGTTGTCAATTGGCTAGGTGTAAGATTAATTTTATGCATTACTTTGGTCAAGTCGCTATTTGGATTATCCAGTGCAATTTCTGAAATTCGAACAAAATTCGATTCCAAAAAAGTCGCTCCACGTATATGCAGGGGATCATTCGGTCCTCCAGTGAATCCTATTTTTTGGGTTGCGACTGATTTTGCTTCTTCGATAGTCATTGGTATATTTCTACATACTTTCTTCGATATTTGGAGTGAAATTGTCACTGATGCTGTTTGTTTTAATTGTTGGTGGTACCAGGGACGGAGCCATGGGGGGGGTTGGGGGGGGCGACGCCCCCCCCCAAAGTTTCTAAAATATATCGAAAGTTGGGAAAACTTGGATAAAAAATTTAAAGTTGGGAAAAATTGGTAGACAAAATTTGCGCACCTTATTTGCGAAGACTAATTAAAATTGACATTAGGATCGTGTCACGTGTCGTGATTCGTAATGTAATGAATTACAAGATCACCGAACAGGATGACGAAATCCCAATGGTGGCGGCGATCTCTTGACGAAATCGTTTTTATTTTTTTCTCACTTTAAGTATTTGAAATAATATCGCAAAATAAACTTCACATTCTCATTGCCACTTTATATCCACTACATGATGATGTTATTAGATTTTTGATCAGACGTTTCGTTTCTTCGCGATCATCATTAACTTCGTTTTTTCAAATGGTCGAATTTTTTTATTTTATGCCCAATAAATTCTACTTTTTATTCTAAATCCAACGACATATCAAGCTCTTAATTCCAGGATTATTAATTTCCACTAGTGGTCCCATTAACTGACTTCTCAGAATCCATCAGTGTAATGTCTGGAAATCGCGAAGGCCCGTTAATGGAACCACTAGTGGAAATTATTATCCTTGAAATTATGAGCTTGATACGTCATTGGATTTAGAAAAAAATGTACAGTTTATTAAGCATAAAATAAGAAACTCGACCATTTGAAAAAACAAAGTTGATAATGATCGCGAAGAAACGAAACGTCTGATCAAAAATCTAATAACATTATCATGAAGTGGTGGAAAAGTGGCAATGAGAATATGAAGTTTATTTTGCGATATCATTTCAAATAAAGTCGGAAAAAAATAAAAACGATCTCGGAAAATAATTCGGTTTTTTATGGATATCTTCAGAATCATTCGAAATTTCCGAAATATCAAAACATGACGCTACTGAGCTCAGTAATGCGGAACATTTTCCAAATTTAACCAACCCTGTATTTCCTATGGTTGCCAAGATCCCTCTAGACTGCATTCTTATCCGGGACACCCTGTATACCTGTCAAACTTTTTATCAGTTTTTGAAGTAAAACTTCTTAGGCGACGGTCTGATATATGGAGAGTCATTTAAAAAACGCATTACGTAGCGTCACGTTTTGGCAAATTTCGTTACACGGGAGACGAGAGAGAAGGACGATATAACGTGGACTGTAGAGAGGAGAAAGCGAGCGAATGACAATGACAGACGAAGAACGAAGAACGCCTATTATTGTCAAGCGCCGATACCCTTGTGACGTCACTATAGATACGCGTCTTCCTTTTGTGTGGCCCTTCGTCTTTACCCCGATTCATGCGCTTAGTCTAAAAGCTGTATGAGGGAGGGTATAGTTTTGAAAAGCTTTCACTTCTCAACACGTGTACAAAGCTACACATTATTTTTTTTGAAGTGAAACCTCTTAGGTGGCGATCTGATTTGGCCGAGAATGTAAAGCGATTTGAAAGACGCGTCACGTTACACATAACGACACGTTTTATTAGCAAATTTCGGCACACGAGAGACAAGAGAGAAGATAGATATAACGTAGAGAGACGGAGAAAGACAGCCAATGACAGCCGACGAACGATTGACACAAACCAAGGATTATAAACAAGGAGGATTGCTTATTCTTTTCAAGCGCCGATGCCCTTGTGACGTCACTACAGATGCGCGTTTTTCTTTTGTGTAGCCTTTCGTCTTTATACCCCGACTGGCCCGACTCATGCGCTATGAGTCTAAAAGTTATATGAGGAAGGGAATAGTTTTTAAGAAGTTTCACTTCTTAACACGTGTGCGATGCTACATATGATTTTTATTTTATGTTTTAATAAAGTTGGGAAAATCAGGAATGTCACCCCCCCCAAACCAGATGCCTTCGCTACGTCCCTGGGTGGTACATCCATATCCATATAGAAATTCTCAGATTCAGATGCTTCATTCCACAATGCCAATTTAGCCAAGAAAATTTTATCTTCGGAGCATAGTAAAGGCGAAATGTTGAGAACCAGCAAGAAACGCTCTTTTATCGCACATAAGTGTTTGCAGAAACGACCACCTTGGCCAAATTGGGCAATCGCATAATGCTATATCTACATATGAGGTGTGAAAAAGATGTTTATCTTCGGCCTAAGTAATTCTGTAAGTTTGTGTCTCCACGTAATATCGACACGTGGACGCCAGAAAACAGGAGATATTGCTCCGCATAATGGGAAAATTTCTGGTGAAAAAATCTACTGCATTCAGACGCTTCAATATTTAGCACGTGATGTCCTATTGCAGAAGATAATGACTAGCCTTGTAATGGCCAATCGAGAGACATTGCCTCCCGTGATTCGGCATACATTTTTTTAGGGTTGCGTTGTACCAAAGGAAACAATGCCAATGCCAATACGCTGCCGGGCATCAGTTAGCGAATAATAGCTAACTGATGCACTTCAATTAACCGCTGACCGAGTCTGGCCTAGGCCTATTGCCTAAAGAGCGTGGCATTATATGCGATCCACATCCACTATCTCGGAGAATTGCACCCAGAGCCTGATCAATTATCTAGAATGTGGAGCCTGGTCCCTTTTGAAACAGCTACCATGTTCTACACTCGCCGTTACGCTGCCCCACTATGAGGTTATCGAGGCAGCCTTGTATTGGGTGTGGCATTGCCCAACCCAACTACTCGTTACCGTAATACTCAACTGCAGTATCTAGATTGGCTATCTTTCAACATCACGATTTAGATTATTGATTGTACAGTCCAGTGCGACCTCTGTAAACTGCCAACATTCCCTGGCCTGAGCATAGGTAGGCATTATTATGGGCGGACTTCTATTCTGATAAAAAGGTTGTTACTTAAATTAGCCACCAACGAGGTGCGGCCTTAAACAATGTGTAAATTTACTTTAAAATTTTTGAGCAGTTTGAAGTAGTTAAAACAAAGATTTTTTTCAGTTGCTTAAATAATACTTGTGTTATTTCTCTCAATAGTTTCTATTTTAATTTAATAGGCAAAACCTATTTCATAATTTAAAATTTTTCGTTTGATGCAAATATTTTAGTATACTTTCCCTAAAAACTATTCTCGTATTCTCAATAACAATTCCGTGTTTTTTCTTTCTTTTTTCTCTTTACTCTCTTTTAAAAATAACAGACTTCATGAACCCCAGAACCAGACATCTTCTACCTGAGATTGAATAGATACGAATTAATAGAAGGTATTAAACCTAACCGTGAACTTTCCGAAAAATTGAAGGCGTTTAAACGTGCAATGAAGTCTTAGGCATCTCTGTTGGTTGGTATGGAGCAGTTTACCTTTAAATTTCCTACTGAATCACAAGTGATGGAGACTATAGCTATTCAGCTATATTTCTTTAATATTAAGGTTTAGACGTTGCTAAATATGTATATTATTTTATTGATAGACTGTTGATTCTCCATGACAATGATAGACCTATACTAATTCTTAACTAAAAATTACAATAAGGTATTATCAGGTGTTAGACTCCCCACATTACTCCTCCCTAAATGAAGTTTTTAACATTTATCAAGATCGAAAAAAAAAAGTAAAAAAATTTAAAAAAAAAATTAAAATATTTTAACATTTCTTGTTCTGGTGGTTGTTTTCTACTTCATCATTTATTACTGTTTGTTCAAAAAATGCTGGTTCAAGTCTATCAATTGAGATAGTTTTTCGTTTTCCATTCATAAGAAGAGTAAAGTATTTTCTAGATCTTTCAAGAACTTTGTATGGACCACTGTAAGGACATTCCATAGATTTATTGATTCTGTCTATTCTGGTAAATACATGTGAACAATCTTCTAAATCTTTGTAGACGAAAACGTTTTTCTTGCTATGATCTGAAGCACTTTTAGGTTTCATTTTTTCCTTAGCTTGTTGTAACTCTTTTAACATGCATTGGGGACACAGCGCTGTAGGCTTTTGAAGGAACATCTGACCTGGAAGACGAAGGGTTGTGCCATAAACAAGTTCTTCCTTTACAGTTGTCCTTAACGTCTTCCTTTACAGTTGTCCTTAATCCCAACATAACCCATGGTAAAATTTCTGTCCATTTTGGATTTTCGTAACATTTTATTGACGGCTTAAGTGATCGATGAAACCTTTCTATGATCCCATTAGCACAGGGATGATATGCTGTAGTACGGCTAGGGTGAATCCCAAGAAGCTTTGTAAATTCTCTGTATAAAGACGATTCGAACTGTCCACCCTGATCGGTTGTTATTTTCAACGGAATTCCAAATCTATGGCAATCCATCCAGTTAGAAACGTTTGTGCAACTGTAAGGGCCGTTATATTCTTAATTGGAAAAACTTCTGGCCGTCTTGTATGTCTGTCTATGCAAGTAAGTAAGTAGGTATATATAATCATCCGAAGGTGGAAGGGGCCCCACAATATCCATATGAACTTGTTC